TTTATGCATGTATGTATTTATGCATGTATATATATATATATATATATATATATATATCTGCATGCATATATATATATATGTGTGTGTGTGTGTGTGTGTGTGTGTGTGTGTGTGTGTGTGTGTGTGTGTGTGTGTGTGTTCTGTCATACACCAGAAATTTTATAATTAAGCACAAATTAACTGACATGATCAATTGTTTTTTCTCCCGAAAACATTTCTTTCTCTCTCTCGGCGCTCATTCGTTCGCTCGCCTAGTCGAAGAATAGATGTCACGGCCAATGCCATTATAAGTATTTACCTACTTATGTAAATATGTAGTTAAATGTGTAAGGATGAAGGTAGGAAGGTAATTAAATAAATATATATAACTCCAATAATGTTTTCTTATTAACATATCTGCAACTATTCACACCTGGCTCCATGCCATTCATTGATTGTTTTTTTTTTTATTTCTCTTCTTGTCATTTTTAATATTTTACATATCTGTCTTTACCCTTTGAGCATTTTTCGAAACTATTAATTTTTCAGCCCAGTGCTCAGTCTTTCCACAAATATATATATATATATATATATATATGAAACGAAACGAGGAAAAAACAATGAGAATAGCGGGTGGTTCTTAAAGCATGTTACGATGTGTGTGTGTGCAAGAGAGAGAGAGTGTGTGTGTGTGTGTGTGTGTGTGTGTGTGTGTGTGTGTGTGTGTGTACTCCTTCACCACAACTGCCCCACACAGATACCGATTAATACAATGGGGGTTTATATTTCTTCTTCTCCTTCTTTTGCTCATTATCCTTTTCTCAACTTCTCTCTCTCTCTCTATATATATATATATATATATATATATATCCCCCTCAAACCCCGATCTCTCATATATATATATATATATATATATATATATATATATACAATACATATATATATATATATATATATATATATATATATATATATCCAACACAATATATATATTTATGTATATATATCCCTCAGCACCCCCCATCTCTTTCTCTCTATATATATATATCCCTCTCAGTCCCCCTCTCTCTCTTTATATATAATATCCCTCTCAGTCCTTCTACCTATCTATCTCACTACATATATATATATATATATATAGAGAGAGAGAGAGAGGAGGAGGAGGAGGAGGAGGAGCGAGGTAACAATAATCCTTTTCTCTTCTGTTACGATACTTCACCTTCATATCTTTTCCTCCTCTTTCACTCTTTCTTCCTCCTACTTGTTTTCGCGTTACTCATGCTTTAAGACGAAATATGTCTATAATTTTCAAAAATTCGCGCGACGAAAATAACCTAGTTGAATATCGTTTAAAAATCTATCGAAAATTATAGACATCCAGTTTGGATAATTTATTTAATCCCTGTATACATTTGTTTGTCGTTTTTTAAGCGTGCATAATTTTAGAACAACAATAAATACCTACCTACCGATAATATATATAATTGTTGTCTTTTTTTTATGTGTCTATGTATATACTTACAAATATTTTATGAGTTTAACGCGCTTAAGGTTTGGTAAGAGAAAGATAAAAAAAAAAGGAAAAGACTGTAGTCGGGATCTTAGATTCATTGTAAATGCCACGATCCTTTCTTTAGCTGTATAGTACGCGCTTTGTTAGGATTACATTCATAAGATCTTTTTTAAAATAGCAAAAATGAAAGAATGAGACGAGGGGGAAATTTAGAAACAAAATCGGTATATAAATTAAGTACTTCAAAAATATTATGAGAACGTCGCAAGTTGCCAAGTTATATTCTACCGTCTTAAAAAAAAAATAACTCACCTGTGGCCTTTAAATATTCGTCAATATTATCCGGCTGCTTTTCTTCCTGTAACCACTTGCCCAAGAAAGGTCCAATCGACATGATGACACTTTAATTTGTAAAAAGTGCGAAAGCAAAAGACGATACAGTCGACACTGACAGGCGGCTTTTATAGGCAGACGACACGCAGGCTGTCTTCTCTCCAACTGATTTCTCTCTGCTATTTTTCTCTTTTTCCCGACCGGTTCTTTTTTTTTTTAACGGAGGCAAGGCGGGGTGCTCTGTGAGTGTGTGCGTACGTGAGGAGACTAGCCGAAAGGCGATGCCTGATTATCAACTGTGCCTAAGCCTCTACACAGAATTATAGCTGAGAGAGAAGACCACATGCCCGATGACGTCACAAGCCGGGGCCGAAAGAACGCAAGAATATATCTGCGTATGCAAATGTACACACAGCAAATTATTTACATCTATCTATTAAACAAAAGCTTTATTTCAACACACACACACACACAATATATACATACATATATATATATATATATATATATATATATATATATATATATATATATATATATATATATTTAGCCAGCAATCCTTCATTTATACATGTTTCATTAAAGACGACAGACAAGGTACTGCGATTAAGCTTTTTATTTAATTTTTCTTTTGTTCGAAAAGTGTTTTCTTTTCTGGACACGGAGTGTGTAGAAACTGTCCTAATGTTCTGTAATTCCGAGCGCTTTCGGCTATGCTTTTAGAAATTATCAAAGATGATTTTATTTTTGCTTTTTAATTGAGTGTATGGGTTGTGTGTATGTTTCCAGAGTTATAGGAATGTTTTATTTTCCGAATACAGCATATTGTGACCGTGTTCATAGTTAATACTATTAGGTGTTGGCTTTTTTCTTTTTTATTATTAAGGCTTCCATTATTTTTAATCTGTTTTTACATGTGGATGAGGTTATTATGTCTATAATTTCTACTAGTATGTTTCGAACGAAGTCTGGTAGGTCTGTGTGCGTGTTTAAATGGATTCTAATAGAACTGTGGTCGGATAGGTGTAACATAAGGTGCCTGGATAGACATGTAGTAGTGTGACCGATGTAATATATATATATATATATATTTATATATATATATATATATATATATTCGTTCAGAAAAGGCTTAGACAGAGGCGTCTATCTTTTTAAATTTGGATTTTTAATGTAACTGTAACAAAAAAACATTTCGATTTCATTTTGCCTTGAAAAAGTCAGAAGACGAAACGCGTCGGCAAAATGTAAGATTTTTCTTTTAGATGTTTTTTTATTTTCATTTTATACCAATCTGTCTTGTCCACAGAATTTATCTGGAAATTTAACTATATATATATATATATATATATATATATATATATATATATATATACTGGAATACATATTCAATGTAATCTTTGTTAATGTATTTAATCAACGTTATATATATATATATATATATATATATATATATATATATATATATATATATATATATATATATAAATAACATTTTGAAAAAAAAGATTGCCCATACATACATACATACATACATATATATATATATATATATATATATATATATATATTCCATGAATACATATTCAATGTAATCTTTGTTAATGTACTTAATCCAACGTTATATATATATATATATATATATATATATATATATATATATATATATGTATGTATGTATGTATGTGACCTATATGTATGTTTATGGGCAATCTTTCTTTCAAACATGTTTCGTTGAATATAACAGACAAGCGAGTTTTATGATTTTTCCTAGTATTCTTAATTTTTCCGTTTGGGGCTGTGGTGGGGTGGGTTGGGGATAGTGGAGTGCAAAAATTGTCTGTAGTGTCTATCGTCCCATGTTCTTTCGGTCATGTCTTTAGCCATTTTCATGGGGTCCGTTGTTAATTGTTGTTAACCTCTTTTCACGGTTGTCATTTTAGATGTAATTGTGCGATGCATATTGTCTGTTCGTATCGTTTATTCCGAGCCCCGCGAACGGATCGTGGCTGGAATTCTCGTTAGCGTACTTCTTTTTTTTTTCTTTTTTTTTTGAAAAAAGAAGCTTGAGCATATTGTTTCCTTTGTTAAATAAAGTAAGATTAATATATGGGTGTATATTTTAGAACAATACGTATTACCGACACACGTACTTTATAAAGAAAATATAACCTCTAGCTGGGTATGAACCAGCGTCTCACTTTGTAGGAGAACTTAGCGTCTGAACCGGCACGCTTTATTTCTTAAATTAGTAAACAGAACATTACTGGGCTGTGGCTCTTCGTGGTTCCATTACCATTGTTATAGAACGCATTTGTTGTAATTTACCTAGTCGGACATTTTTTTTCGTTCAATCACGTTGATACTCGAAAGTGTTAATGATTTCAACAAACAATAACTTTATCTGCGTTTTTTTTTTATTCAATTTACTTCAATCAAGATCTTAATTTTTTTTCTTTTTCTAGCATCACGTTTTCACTCATTTTCCCTTTTAGATGTAACCGTAAGTTCTATGCTAACAGTTTCTTCTTCCGCACTTCTGGCTTGTGGAAATCTCCACGCTTTCTAGTCAACTTTGATCTTCAAAAATTTAAATGCAATGTCAGTTGTTATCTACTGCATGTTTTATTACTCTGCCATTGTTCTCGCTCCTTAATAATGTTTAACTTTTTTCTTTTTCTTTCACACTCAGTAACCCCTCGTGTCTTATTTGCTTTACAGCTTGCATGAAGTGATATGATTAAAAGCAAAATCTTCGTCTTTTGATGGTGAGGACTTACATTTGTTTTCAGGCTTGTCTTAATTTTATTTGAGGATTTTTCGGGGTGTTATTAAGTTTTTTGTGGGGGGAGGGGGTCTTAATTTCGGAGGTAGAACTCTTTAGTATTTTTCAAGTAAGGATTTTAAGTTAAATTTTTTTGATGGGAAGCTTAAAATTTTAGTGGGGATGATTTAAGTTTGTTTGCTTTTAGGGGAGGGGTCTTAAGTTTTTGATTTTTGATAAACCTTTATAATTGTTTAGTGATACAATTCTTACTATTCAACCCATAGCTGAGAGGAGGAGATGTAGATTCATGCCTTTTCCAATGCTATTTGCGCGTATGTGAATAAATGCAACGAACCCAACGGGTATTGGAACTCGACTCTCTTATAACTACTCCGAGCCATTATTTATTACAGCACCTGATATTCCCAAGCATTCACATATCCAGGTACTGACCTGGCTCGTCGTTGCTTAACTTCGATGATTGTACGGAAAGTGGTGTTATATGATATGACCATAAGCCTTTTTAAGTATTTTTTTGGAGGGGGACGACTTTCATTTAGGAGGAAGGGTTCTGGAATTGATTTAAAAAAAATGACCGCATTTTAGTAAACTGAGCATCTGGTCAACGTTCGAAAGCATTATTAATCGTCTTAAAATAAAAACTGTCAAATTGAAAATCTCATTCCAAAGTTCTAACAACCTTGAAGAACGTCGTCATCGATTTATTCAACGAGAAGAAAAGGCATGCAGAATTCAAAGCGAATTAATCGTCATCCAAGGCAAAACGCACGAAAACAAAACCAGAACAACATCGACTTGAACGAATTGAGCTCTGCAAAAATAGGAAGCCATTTTGCACACTTCATGATCATATTATTTGCAAAAAGCATTCAGTTGTCTGCAAAGTACAAGAAGGTATACACACACACGCACACACACACATATGTATATATATGTATATATATATATATATGTGTGTGTGTGTGTGTGTGTGTGTGTGTGTGTGTGTGTGTGTGAAGAAATATAATAAATGAGAAACCGTTTCATTGAAACTAGATTTGATTAAGCGTTTCGCTTTTGTAGGCTTCAACAGATGCAAAAATGAAAGAAATATATGTGTGTTTGCTTAAATAATAAATCATAAGTACCTTTTCCGCTAAGATGGCGTTTCTCATGATGAAAGAAAAGAATGAAAATGAGTGACTCTTAAAAGAACCGTTAATAATTATTCTGTATCTTTACTTCATAATTCTTTTAAATATAATATAAAATAACTTTATACACACACACACACACACACACACACACACACACACACACACACACACACACACACATACACACACACACACACACACACATACATACACACACACACATATATATATATATATTGGTATAAAATGACAATTGGAAAAAAATCTTGGATTTTGCCGACGCGTTTTGTCTTCCGACTTTTTCAAGGCAAAAATGAAATCGAAATGTCTTTGTTGTTATAATTACATTACAAAATCCAAATTTAAAAAGATAGACGCTTCTGTCTAAGCTTTTTTCTGGTTAATGTAAATTTCCTTTATACTAAGAGATTCTTTTCCATGTCGACAATACAGTTAAATTCCCAGAAAATTCCCAGATCAATTCTGTGGACAAGACAAATTGGTATTAATTGGGAATTTAACTATATATATATATATATATATATACGGAGGACATTTCGATACGAAGTGTTGAACATTTCGGTGTTCACTAAATCATAGACATCATATTACCCTCACTTGCAATAGTGTCCAACGTATTCATTAGGATTGAGATATACACATTAGTGTTCAGGTGATATATATATATATATATATATATATATATATATATATATATATATATATATATATATATATATATGAATGTGTGTATATGTGCATGGATGTGTGATACGATAAAGAACACTTCGGAAAAGTTTAGCAATCTAACATGTTTCACTTTTATTAAAGCTTCATCAGAAAATGAGATATGGAGAAAAAAGAAGAAAGGAATCCTGGTATCTTTACTTTTGTGTTGTTTGATTTTCATTGGTTAATCAGGTTTCACATGCATTTGATTTGTTAAATAACGTTAGTATAATTTTTGGCATTCCGAATTCAAGGAGAGACGACGAGTCCTTTCGAAGCTTCAATTAATTATGCCTAAACTGAAAAACCGTAAATATTGCTTTATGTATGCAAGTGTATCTTATTCTTTCCACGTAGGATTCAAATGATAATGTATATTTGTGTTCATGTGCGTATGTGTTCTTTTAAGCTCGTATCTACGAGCATAAAGGCAACCTACATTGTGACAACACTTTAAATTTGCTTGTAATACAATCTTTGATTTACGATAGTCGTAATCAAGAACTGTAGTTTTAGTTTATGACACTGTGCTTGGCTAATGCCTTAGTTTGCTGAAACCAATTTCAAGCCACTTAAATGTGACGTCATTTACAATTGTTAAACTCAAAATTTTAAGTGTTATTTTAACTTGTAATTGGTTCCAGCAAACGATGGAAACCGAAATTAACAAAAACACAATTTCATAAATAAGAAAAAACGTAATTCTTGAAAACGACTGAAGTAACAATCGAAAGTACTCAGAATAAAAGAAAAACAAAAACGAAGATTGGAAAGTCTACCATTTGTATAAAACGACTTCCAACCGGAAGTTGGAAAAACTTTAAAAATTAGATAGATTTATCGATATTGTTCAGTAAAACCTCCTTAAGAATTCTTGCTACCTAAATACACCTTATGCACAAACACACAGAGAAACACACACGCACAAACACACAGACACACACACAGAAACATACATATATATATATATATATATATATATATATACATATATATATAACACCCTCGAGACTTGGAGCTAGTAGAATGGAGATCGACGTGTTTTAGTGGACTCAGCAGTTTTCAATCAGCTTGTCTGAATCGTCTTCAAGATCTAAAAGGTCAGCCAATCTAACAGTGATCTGATCCCATAACCCTTACTCTTGCTCCATATGCGGCCTCCTTTGTAAATCACTAGCGGGTCTTAAGTGTCACTTAAGATTATCGAACAAAATTTCATAACTGAATCAATTAAGTTGTCAGGTCCTCATATGTCGAAACCGACGAGAGAGTCTATATATATATATATATATATATATATATATATATATATATATATATATATATATATATATATGTGAGGTGTGTAACCACAAACTAGCTACTGAGATTCATTGGTTTCCGACTGCACAGGCTGCTTCTGAAATGCACAAGCACACACATACGCACAGATAGATAGATATGCGATATTTACAGTTAATAGAGATAGAGTATATGTCAGTACTAGAATAAACACTGAGGTCAACACCAAATGGCAACAGCCTGTTTCAAGCTTCAACGCAATCTTCAGGCCACGTGTGTTATATTTTCATTCATATAATCATATATACTGGTGTTAGCGTTGCATTATGGGTAGTAAAGTCTATTAGGTGAACACTAACGGTTATGTTTCGAATTATTAGTGAGAAGAAATAATTGTGGATCCGAATGTTAACTTCAGTGTCTACTATGATATATATATATATATATATATATATATATATATATATATATATATATATATATATATATATGGTGTATAAAAATACGACTACAATTTTGGGGGGCGGGTTGCTAATAACAAAAGAAAGACAAAAGTACATATAAACATGTCTTCGTTTTTGAGTTAAGTTTAAATTTTGCGGTAGCCGCTTTTAAATGTACAATTCAAGATACAATACAAAAATACTTTTGCAAACTTTCGGCCGGATTCCTGAAACCAAAATAAGGTAAACTATCTATATAAAAATATGTCCAAAAGCATATCGTTGTACCTCAACGCAGCCATGTTCAAAATGCCCTCCGCTTGCTTCTACACACGCAAGCAACCGTCGGTTCATTCACAGACAGACTTTCAAATACTCACACACGGTGCCGAATAGTTTCGCAGTCCCCCATGACAAGTTAATGAAGCGTCTCTGCATTATTAATTTCTACTGCATAAACCAATTGTTTTGGGTGGCCCCACAGATAAAAATCCAAAGGACTGAGGTCGGAGGAACGTGCTGTCCATGTGTTATACCGGAACATACCTATTCTATTGTTAATAGACTCTACCACACATAATAAGTCGTAGTAGTAGCGGGCACCAGGGCTTAGAGTGAGTTGGTCGAGTCAGTCGATGTCGGACATTAAAGTATCAACCACCACAACTAGATTGCTGCGTCATTAACTATTATTTCAAGTTCCTAACGTTTTGTACGTCGAACATTTTAGGACGGACTTAGTGAAATACAATCCTCCACTGTGAAACTATTCTACAACACCATGGAACCGGTCTTCCCTACCTATCCATTTTTTTATGGTAGATATCATCGCGAACATTGTGACTAAAATGTGCTGGAGCCCCCTCATGTATGAAACACGTGCGTCTTCGTACGAGAAGGGTTAAATCATTTAGCAGTTCTAGAAGTGTGTTCTAAATAAAATCCCTAAAGACAGCTCCTGTAAGACGTGCCGGGAGTACATATGGACTACGAGACAATCAACTACAATTCCAGCCTACACATTAATCGTAAGCTGATGTTGATGCCTAGTATTGTCCTATGGGGATTCCGATCTGCCCACCAATGTTGGTTGCGTAAATATGTTATTCCATCTCTTCCAAATGTTGCTTCATCTGTAGACAAGACTGAAGAAACAAACAACGGATCGGTAGTTTGTACAGTAAACCATCGACAAAAGTTCTCCTGAGGTGAGTGATCAGAGGGCGAAAGACCCTGCACAGGTTGAAAACAAAAGTTCTCCTGAGATGTACTTCATGGTAGGACCACTAGATATGTACTGATACCTGAATCGTCCCCGACAGCCTGTAGAATGTGTTCTTTGTGGTCAGGCGTGAGAGAGGATCTCGGTCTTCCTGGATCCATAGTTTGGGTTACCACGGATCCTATCTCAGCAACGCGATGAGGAACCCGCCACCAAAGTATGTAGAAGTATTTCTGATACACCCTTTATATATATATTTATATATATATATATATATATATATATATATATATATATAGAGAGAGAGAGAGAGAGAGAGAGAGAGAGATAGATAGATAGATAGATGAAACGAAACGAGGAAAAAAACAATGAGAATAGCGGGTGGTTGTTAAAGCATGTTACAGTGTGTGTGTGTGTGTGTGTGTGTGTGTGTGTGTGTGTGTGTGTGTGTGTGTGTGTGTGTGTGTGTGTGTGTAAGAGAGAGAGAGAGTGTGTACTCTTTCACCACAACTGCCCCATACAGATACCGATTAATACAATGGGGTTTATATATATATATATATATATATATATATATATATATATATAAATAATATGGACATAGGTATCAATTCTGGATGAAAACAGTCTGTTTCATACCTAAAAGTAATCGCCATTCAAGTGATATATGAGGTAGTATCAG